TCTGTCTAGTGGAATGCCCCTCAGGGGGCCGGGGAGATAGCTCAGCAGACCAAGCGCTTGCCTGGAATGCACCCCACTGAAATCCACAGAAGACCCAAACAGTTCTGGAGAAAACTATGTTGGTAGAACCACTGCAATTCAGACTGAAAGGGACAAAAATATAAAATGAAAGGACGCTGTAGACTCTCAAAATGCAACTGGTAGGAAGCAGGTAGGACAAAACTAGGAAGCTGCCGACGTGTGCTGCCTTTCATGAAAAAGGCGGGATTGCTCAGAAGAGTAGAGCCAGCCACCCAGGAGACTGAGGCCTCCTCAGCCTCTATTCCTCCCCTCCTTTTGCCTTCGCCTGTTAGTAAACGCCATTCCTTACCTACCTTAAAAAGTTTCTGGGAGTGTTTGATCATAAAAGCCATCCCATTGTTTAACTTTGTGATATTTTCCTTAAGGTCATTTGCAGTAACCTATTCAAAGGAAAAGAGATCAAAAGGGGGGCTATAAGGGCTGAGAGAGGTAATACCAATAAGCTTATTCTTTCAAATGCATAAGTGTTTCTATCCCTACAAAGGTACCTCTAGACATTTGATTCTGGAAACACTGATTTGGGGCTCAGTAGGTTTCTACTAGATGTGACATAAGCCTACCACGTGTCCCTGAAACAACCAGGAAATCTATGAGAACCAACCTCATTTCCTACTTCTGCTTGAAAATTAGACACGTGCGCAAAGCTGCTACAGAAAGTCTAGTCTAGCGTTCAAAACCGAGAGGATGTGTCTACTAGCTATCAAGGACATTGCCTCTTTAGAGAAACCAGAGTTGCTCCAAAGAAAAGGGAGAACTGTCACAACTGACACCAAAGGTGACATCTGTTTCTTAAAAACACAGTCAAATTGTTATTGATTCCCCTCTCTTGTTTCTCCTGTCTTTTTCCCCCAAGTACATCAGCACTTTTACTATGCCCAAACCCTCACCTCAGCATGAATCCCTGTCACTGGATCTGTTTGCTTTCCTCAGGATCCCTTTCATACTTCTGTCTATAACCACAGTTTACTCCCTTTCCATAGCTCCGGTTAAGAGCTTCTAAAATCCTTCATGAGGAAGTTTGATCCTCAACGCGGACAAATGTTGGTGTCTCCTCTCTGCCCAGCCCACACCACAGGCTTTTCTTGGCCCAAAACTTTTTTTTAAGGTAAAATGTTCCACACAATCTTTCTCCTTTACTTTCCTATTCTGTTTTATAATCTCAGAAATATTTTTATATGTCACTATCACCTATTTATTTCTATTGTCACCCCAACAACCTTATGAAGTGGTAAAGCTAGTAATATACCCAATTTAAGAGGAGGATAAAAAGGTATCAAAATGGTTACAGGTAACCTAAGTGGTTTGCAGCTTCCAACCCAAGTGCCCTGCCTCACCATTCCACCACACGATGAACTCCATAATATGATGTGTTCTGTCCACGTACCAACTTCCCACAGTGGATATAAGCATTATATACTGCAAACATATACTAACAAAATTTTTAAAATTTAGATCTTTATTACAAATAAAATAGCTTTGTGCCTCCATGTCAAATACAAGTTACTTGTTTAAAGCAGGTCACAGTGGCAGATCCCTGTAGCCCAGCACTCTGGGAGGCTGAGGTCAGAGGACCACAAGTTCAAGCCCTGCCTGGGCACCTTAGTGTCTTAGCACACCCTGTCTCAAAAGACAAAAGGTTGGGGCCGGGGAGATGGCTCAGTAGAATAAGCGCTTGCCTGGCAAGC